GGAGATTTTTTTCAAACTAAGAATTTTAATTTAATGATGACAAAATGATGATGACTACTGGTTTCTTTTAATTTTAATTTAATTTAAATTTTAATTTAATGATGACAAAATGATGATGACTAACAAATACTGGTTTTCTTTCAGTCATTTTGGTTTTTATGACGACAAAGAAATTGTAGCAGAAATGAAAAAGCAGCAGGTGACACTCCCTTAATTGTTTTTTAATTTTTTTTATTTTGGATCGAAAACACTTTACATGAAGGGAAGGGTTAGGACCTTCACTTTCCCAGGAATTCGTCACTCACAATGGTACACTAATCGAACAGTATTCAACAATGCAATTATATTATACTGCCATTCTTAACATAGGATGAGGATCATATGCACCAAAAGTGTAAGTGGCCATGTGGCGAAAATATTTCTTTCATCAATGAAAAAATACAGCTTACTGTTTACTTATTGAAATTAAAGCTTTTACCGTCAGATTTTGTTTCCAGTGCGATGACCGTCACGGTAGCTCAGTCGGTAGAGCGCTAGCTCCGTGATCGGTAGGTCGTGGGTTCGAACCCCGGCCGTGACTGACCTAAGTCGATAAAAGATATGTAGCAACTGTTCCTTCGCCAAGCGCTCGGCACTTTGAAGTGAAAGTTGCGGGTCCTTTAGATGAGGCCCCCTGTCACGGCAGGCGTTGGCACGATAAAGATCCCTCACTGCTCAATGGTCCTGAGTGCCAGGTAAAGATCTTAATTTGAAGTCCTTCACCGGTATATGGTGATGTCTCTATATGAGTGAAAATTTTTTGAATGAGACGTAATACAACATACAATCAATCAATCAATCAATCAGTCAATCAATCTTTCCAGTGCTCACTCTAAGAATCTATACTAGATGGAAGTTCTTGGTGAGAATGAGTTACAAAACTGACGCGTCCAGATTTAACGCTAAGATGGGATCATTTATAAGTCTGATGAAATTAAACCCACCAACGTCAAGGGTCCTGTGTCAATCGATCACATTAATCCTTTGGTGATAAACAATGTGTAACACGTGCATTTTAGGTGTCAACTGATTCCTTTCTGTTTATAGTATCTGTCTACTTCACTTTGATTGGTGCTTCTTCATGAGAAAAGCAAGCCCAAAGATATCGAATGAAATTTGTCAGGGGTCCAACGGCAAGGAGTTGACACAGGACTTCTAACGTTGTGAGGATGTAAACCCACTTAATCAAAAATGTAAACCCACTTAATCAAAAAATTGTGTGTTTGTAACAGAAATTCAGATTAGGATTATTTAAGACGTTGTACGCCTCATAACAAAGAAAAACTTATCACTAATATAAAGTTTAAGAGCCGTTGCCGTAATGAGATAAATACTTCAGTAGTTCAAATCCCTTTTGCTCCAAGGGTCATAATAGAAATTCCAAAACTTTTTTGCACTTATTCCGTCTACTAACATGAAGAATTTTATTCATAAAAAATGGACACCTTCACAAATGTAAGAGAATTTGTGACATGCGACTGACGGACTGACAGGGAATGAGGGACAACAACAGAATGCCCACAATTCCTCAAGAAAAATAACTCAGTTCACATGAACCTGAATTGAAGCACACTTACAGCTCTGTTTCTGATGTTTGTAAATAATTGGAGTTTGTTTGTGAATAGGGTATTAAATGAATGAAAAATGTCATATTATGTATTTACTGTTTAAATAAAATTTCACTATGCAGCTGATTAAGGTGGGACCCAAAATTATCCCAAAACTTACACAACAGAAGACTATTACACAACAAAGAAAAAAGTGTTCACACAATTATTTCTAATAGTATGGAGGATTGAAAGGGTGTGTGTGAAAACAACACCTACCTTTTTGGAGCCAAAAGTCAAAGAAGATGGGAGAACAAGGCATGCAAAAAGCCTATAGCTTCAAATGTACATGTCATATTTAATTTATGAATTTAGTATTTGAAGTAAAGTTTTTATCATTGAAAGATGTGAAAATATGACAAAAACATAACTTTTTTACGGAAAATTCTTTCGGCCAAAGTCATTCTATGATTTTAAAAAAAAATAGTGGCATTCTTGGGTTCGAACCCAAGCAATAAATATTGTCAATTTTTCCTTCGAGACTAACGCGTTAACCACTACGCTATACTGCTCATACCAAACATCGGCATTTAAATCATGTTTGTGATATGACCCTTGACTAAATGGACTATTTCTCGAAAAGATACGAAAGTTGTGCCCTAAAAGTCTATTTTTAAGTTGTAGTGGGTATTTGCTCCACATATTTCTAATATGCATATTTTTACGCATACTTTGCGAATAATCTTTCAAAACAATGAAGCGAAGACCCTCTAATGGAAAAAATCTGTTTTAGTATGAAGAATTGATCATTTTTTACCTCTTTGGTGTATATGTATGCTATTCCATACATGAACAACTTCAATCTTTGTGAGATTGTTGCGATATGTGGAGATTTTATATAAAGTTTACCTTAATGTTAAATGAATAAAATATCAAAGAAAATTTGTCATAATTGAGATTTAATTTTTCACTTTTTTTATTTCTCACACAATAGGCATTTTGCTCCCCTCGTTCGCCCTTCTTCTTTGATCGGGGTTAGGCTAATACCCGCATTAGATGGTGCTCAGACAGTAAACCCCGGAAAAACCCCCTCATGAACCATACAATCTTATAAGATATATAATGAACACAAATATAAAACTCTATAGGTATTTATAACACAAAAAACATTCATATACATAAAAACACTTAAACTATTTAGTGAGTAAATAAAAGATTCCTTCTATCCATCCCACGCAGACCATTAACATTAAATCAAAATCGGTTAAAGGTGTTTTGAAATATCAAACAGGATATATTGTTGATTATAATGCGAGGATTGCTACATAATGATTTTAAATGTTAGGAAAAAAATACAATAAATTGAAACAGGTGTTAATAAAGTATTTATTCTCATTGATATTGGACAGTGTAACCTTTCCTAAGATTATTATAGTTATACATACATTAATTGTTAAGTAGAAGTATAATAAATTAGCAAAAGGATACTGTATGTGTCAATGTAAGAATTTATTAGTTTCATTCTAATGAATATGCATGCAACTGCAGACAAGTTATAGTTGTCTCCATGCAAACTGTAAAAGAAAAAGAATACATTTATATTAGAATTTGTTTATGTATGTATATTTAAAAAAAATATTTTATGCGTTACACATCATACCCAGTAAGTAAGTAAGTAAATTTTATTCATAGTCGGACTATATACATTTAACAAAAAAAAAAAAAACCCAAAACATGAGCTTTAAAGCTCTTTTATCGACTAGTAACATAGAAACACATTTAGCACAAATAAAATGTACATATACATATAAGAGAAAACATATTTAAATTTCACGTAGACAGAAGCACATAAAAACACAACAATGGAAGAAAACACATCGGTAAACACACATAAAAGAAGACATAAAAAAACACATATTGTACAACAAAGATCATGCACACATAAAAAGGGGGGGTTAAGACAGCACTTATATAGTAAAATCATAACTTAAAACAAGCAAACAGTTAGCAACAAAGAGGGAGACATTAGGTAGGAGGCATAAAAGTATGTAGTCTGCAGGAACTACATTAATTTACAATTTAGTTGAAATGTAGTTTGAAAATTGATTGTAAGAGAGAATTTCCTAACTTCATTTGGCAGAGAGTTCCAGAGCTTTGATGCCTCATACCTGAATGATTTCATTCCATACCTTGTTGTTCTTGGTCTTGGGACCTCTGCAGTATTTGTATATCTAAAGTTGTATGAATTTATTTAAAAAAAAAACAACTAGGTCTTGCAAAAAGACAGGACTTAAACCTTGGATAATTTTAAAAGTTTCTAGAACAATGGCACGCATTCTTCTAGTTTTCAGGGATGGTAGTTTAGATTTATATAATAGACTTTCATATGAGCTTTTATAATCTTCATAGATAAATCTTAAAGCCCTTTCTTGATTTTTTTCAATTTTACGAATGTTCTGCTCTGTACAGAAGTGTCATGTTAAAGGGCAACAACTGAAGTTTGTCATCATAAAAGAATGATATATTGTAAGTTTTCCTATCTTAGTTAAATGCTTTCCTATTCGTTTAAGAACATTTAATTGCCTTGCTGCCTTTTTTACACATATTTGTAATATGTGTATCGAACGGCAACCTGAAGTCAATGGTGATGCCTAGAAGCTTAACCTCATAGACAGAAAATTTTGATTCGATCTAAATCAAACACAATGTTTTTACTCTGTGTTTTGTTACCAATAGAAATTGCCTGAAAATTTTCAGGGTTGGCCTGTATTTTATTTGAAGAAATTCATCTAATGAGAGATCTGCTGTCATATTGTAGAGCTGCTCCCACCTGTTTTATCTTAGTAGATGTTGCCAAAAAATATCTTAAAAATTCTCTAGGTTAATTTTCAAAATACAATTTTAAAAACTCTTTAATTAAATCCACCTGGTTAATGAATTTTTCATGCAAATAATATACATTTTCCCTTAAGAGCACAATATTTTAGTGATCCCAATATTTTTATTTAATTTTAGCTCTTAATTAATTCATTTTGGCGTGAGAAGAGATACCATACAGATAAAAAAAAAAAAAAAGAATCCAGTCATGTGAGATATTACATTTATTTTAATCGACACTTTCAACCTAATGAAATACACAGGTATCTTTGTGGAGAATGTGTCTCCATTGTAAGCCATTGATTGTCTACGAATCGTGACAATACGCTGGCAGATTCGATAGAATTAAAGTCTTTCATTTTTAATATATAATCCTCCGTCTAAATAACTCCCGCTCTTCTGACAAAATCTATTGATAGTACTGCTTAAATATTTAACTGACATTTAGATAAATTTCAAACAAACTGCACTACTTCTTGAAAGTATATGTGCAAATCACTTGTGAAGCAAAAAAGAATTTTTTTTTAATGTTTCAAGATGGTGACACTAAATATTCTTTTCACATTGTTAAGTGCTGGACTATTCTGTGGTAAGTACATTTTACTGGTTGTTCGTCCCAGTAGGGTTATTCTTATAAACAACATTCTTCCGATAAATTTTAAGACAAATTAAAATTTCGTAGATGTCGTTCAATTGTAGCCCAAGAAGAAGTTGGTATTACGACGGTTCATGGACTTTAATTATCTTAATTTGTTTAATTTGTTTTGTTTTCAAATGTTCAAATGTTTGATTCCAAACCAATGTCTTATTCAGGCTAGAAGTCAAGAACAAAACAGGAGAGATATTGTTTTGATGTCTGTTATTTAAAATACTTTTTTTTAATTACTAACAAGTTAAAGGCACTTTAAACATGTATATTCTGATGATAAAAACAGAAAATGCTTGATTTAGGAGAGAGAGGGGGGAATCGCATGTGAACTATTTCACAAGGCTTGTTTATAAATTGATGGATTTGAATTTACAATTCGAATCTTTATTTTCACACTTATAATGATAGAATTTCATTGATATAATGTTTCCGCATCGGTATCTGTGGCGCGCTGTAAAATGTAAGAAAATGTCAGTAAAATGTAAGCTACAAATTTTTTTTATAGCGCTCAGAAAATATTACTTTAATCATGGCAAGCATGTGTGTGTATTTTATATGCTGTGTTATAAATTTCTAGTTTTAAATCATTGTCTTGTAAGATAAGTTTTTTTCCTAGATCAAAGTTTTGCTGCTTTTTCGACCACACACGCTACCAACATCCACAGTGCAATTTTCACCTCTTCCTACAATTATCTAGTAAGGCCCTCCGATCTCACCAGTGTAAACATGGAATTCGTCATCTTTGCCATTAACCAAGTGGTCTGTATTTTTGAAATTAATGTTACTTTTATGTACATGTACCTATATGTTCCTACCCTTTTTAAGCTCTACTGGTTAAGACAAGAAGTGAGACAAGAAGTGATCAGTCTGTCTGTCTGTTTGACACTATTTTTCTGTAAACTATTTTCCAAAATGCAGTTTTGAACCAACTTTAATAAGACTTGGTACACAGGTAGAATACACTATAATTATACATTGTTCCATTGACCGTTGCCGTGGTCAGTAAAACTATAAATTTCTCCTTGAGATTTGTTCAGATTTCAATCATCTTGGTACACAATAAAATTTTGATGAACAATGCTGCAGTAATTAATGAAAACAGAATTTTGAGCAAAATCCTTTGAAATGCTACACATCGTAGATTTTTTTGTTAAATTTCTATTAAACCTTTTAAACACGTACAATACATGTAGCTTAACGGTGTTGCCATAGTTACTAAAAATGTTTTAAAATCTCTCTAAACGCTACTTCTTGTATGATTGAATTGCAACAAAATTTGTTACAAGTTTAGAAAACATCAGGATCCATAATTTCGTAAAATGTAAAGCTAAAAAAAGTATTTTAAGTCTAGGTAGGTACCATATGTTCTTTTCCTTTCCGTTCATATAACAAGTAAAACAAAATGCAGTGGAGGTACCTTCTCATCAAAAACTCTTGGCTTGTTAACTGTCTCTTCAGCATATAGTTCATTATTTAATTGTTGGTAACCTTTTTGTATAGTGTAAATTTCACGGTCTTGACCTACCATACATGTAAATCTTATGATAAAAGTAAAACAGACCACTGCATTTTATAAATTTAATATTGGATTATTTAGCTTTAAAACCCGTCAACAAAAAAATAAAATTGATGTAAAATAAGAAATATTATTATTTTTAAAACAGGATCTGAAAAACCAAGTAATCTCCATGTCCGGATGGCTTACAGTCGTACGTATAATTATACATAATTTATATATTACATGTTTTTAAAATATATATTTTTTGTGGACAAAAGTTTATATAGATGTATAAATAATGCCAGAATTTCATTTTTTCTTTTCACCAGAAATGGCAGGATGACCGACTTACGTGGACTCCCTCATCATATGGAGACATCGACCTGATCTACACTAAGCCGTCCAAAATCTGGAAGCCTGAACTTATCATCGATAATTCGTAAGTATATAATCAAGCTTTTATCATCGATTTCGGAAGAACACAATCAATTTTTTTTTATCACCGATAATTCTTAAGTATTTATTCCAGGGATGGCAATCGAATACAGAATTGCCAATCGGTTACTAGTAACCGCAAGACGTTTCGACCGATTAATCGGTTAATCGTATAAAAATTTCTCGACCTATTACATCGTTGTAAGCTCTACTCAGATAAACAAGGCGATAAAGATGATACAAGTCAAAATATTTTCGGTATTTTATTTCAATTTTAAAAGGGGAAAAACATGTACAGAGAAAAATTAAGAAACTAATGAAACATTCCAGAAGTCTCATATACATTTAAAAATAAATTCAGTGATGTAACGGAAGCTTAATTTGCATTGTCACTATACTCGAAACTCAAGTCTGAACTATCGCGTAATTTACAATGTTTGTTTAAAAATATAATTTGAAAGGTAACTGCAAAGGATGAAAGAGGTAAGGTACACAATATAAACAGTTCACGGTACTTAACTTACTTATCTAATAAATTCATTAATGAAACACAGGACAGGCTAGGTAACGACATGGTGTTTAAACAGCAATTTACATCTCGAAAACTGACCAATTATTCCCATGATGTCAATCCAGAGAGCCTTAATTAACTCTAAATCAGCTTAAAGAGATAGGAGAATGTGCTATAATTTCATATATATATATATATATATATATATATATATATATATATATATATATATATATATATATATATATATATATATATATATATTAATTTTTTGATTGAATTTTTAGGAAATTTTGTAATTTACACAAATTTTTTTTCCCGACTAACCGATTACAGATTTTCTAACCGATTACTATCGTTCCGACCGAGTAACCGGTTAATCGATTAGAAATTGCCATCCCTAATTTATTCGTAAATACACGGCACAGACATACGGTGGTACATTTAGAACACGTAATTATTTTTTTTTGAAGATACCAGGAAAAATTTCTCTCGTGAAAACGAGATATTATCTAGTGAAAACGACAAAATATCTCGTGAAAACTACATATAATATCTCGCGAAAACGACTTATTTTCTCGTGAAAACGACATATTATCTCGTGAAAACGACATATTTTTTTCGACTTTAATTTTTTTTTTTTACATACATTAAACAACCTGATTTAGTATTTTGCTATTCGTTGTCAAATATGGATGAAGAGTATACAAGAGAGGATGTCATTAAGGAATGCTTTCATCTTGGTTTTAAACAGACAGGAATAGTAAATATTCTTCGCACACAATACGGCATTATAATTTCTATTCGTCATTTGAGAAGATTACTACGTAGATACAATCTTAGGAAAAAAGGACAAGTCTGGTATTGTTGATGTTGTCTCAGCAGCTTGAGTCTTCGGGACAACAACAAGGATACAGACTGATGCATTTTATATGTACATTAAGTAGTCTGTCGGTAAGTATACATGATGTCAGGGAATTGTTGAAAATTCTTGATCCAGAAGGAGTATAGATTTACGGAGTAGAAGGAGACATATTCGCCGAAGATATTACTCCAAAGGACCTAATTATATGTGGCATATGGACTCATGATAAACTTCACCCGAACGGGATAGCCATCAACGGATGTATAGATCATGGATTTTCGCGATATATCATATGGTTAGAGGCCAATTACACAGCAAGTGACCCAAAAGTAATACCGTAGGGGGTTATTTCATGTTTTCTGTAGAAGAGCTTGGAGGATTTCCCGAATTTATTAGGGCGGACAGGGGCACAGAAAATGTCGTCGTAGAGCAACTTCAAATCTTTTTCCACGAGAGTAAAAATGCCGAGAGGCCACCCGATCACTTCAGATATGGGCGTAGTACTGCAAATCAGAGAATAGAAAACTGGTGGTATTTTCTTCGACGGTAATGTACGGAGTTTTGAATATCATCTTTCAGGAGTTTAGACAGTCTGGTTTATTCAATGGAGACATAATAGAACAAGAACTTATTTGTTTCGTCTTTACAAATATAATTCAGGTTAGTGTGAAGTTTAAAGACAATTGTATATTTATCAAATTTGTCCTACCTCTATAACTTTGACAATGTACTGAAATTATTACTACATTTACAATGTGTATTCTACTGTATTTTTATCAGAAGGAATTGAACGATATGAAGCTTCTTTGGAATTTGCATCCAATTTGAAGGTCAAGAAACAGAACATGTACTCCATGGACGTCCAGTTATATTGTACACATCACCGGAAGAACACGGCACGAGGGATTATTTGTGCCGTTTTAATGATCAGTATTTAAACGCATGCAGAAATGAATGTACTTTTAAACACCCTAATTTAAACTCGAGTGATCCGGATGTCGATAGTGTTTGTCGCACTCTAATGGAAGAAATTGGCTGGCAAATGCCAGTCTGTGCTACATCTGGTCGAGAATTGTATGGAAAACTAAGAGAAAAACTTTTGAGAATGCTGTATTGATAGAGGAAACATCACCAAACATTTGATAAACAATAAAATCGTTTTAGTGATCAATAGTGCATTATAAATAATTGTACTCTGACTTATACAAATATACATCTGACATTTGTAACCGATAAAATGTGAATGTACAATTATAATTATTTTGTTTGTTTTTTTTTAAACTGAACTGAATGGAAAAATAATGTTTAAATTTAAAAAAGAAAATCTAATCATTATTACTAATTATATATGGCTTCAAGACAAGGAAACGCTAATAAAGATGTGAAATCTTTGAAACTTTATAAATGTATTTTTTTTTTTTTATAGAAAAGTAGCGACATGCATTTACAGGGGCAGGGTTACGATTTTGGTCAAATTTAATGTTTTTATTTTTATTGTTTACAATTTAATAATGCATTTCTAATGAACAAACAAAATTTGAGTGTCGGTCGTAGAGTTTTCACGAGATAATAAATCGTTTTCACGGGATATTTTATCGTTTTCACGCGATAATAAGTCGTTTTCACAAGAAAATATCTCGTTTTCACTAGATAATATGTCGTTTTCACGAGATAGTATGTCGTTTTCACGAGATAATTTTTCGTTTTCACGAGATAAATTTTCGTTTTCACGAGATAAATTTTTCCTGGTATCTTAAAAAAAATAATTACGTGTCCTAAATGTACAACCGCACAGACACTTGTTTTGGTAATAAATCTTTCAACCCATGGTATAATAATTATTACACTATGGGTTAAAAAGTCTGTTACCACGATAAGTAAACTTGTTGAAGAAGAAAGAACTAAGTTTGTTAAAAACTTATCAGTAAGAGATTGTGATATACATGTGATACACATGCAAGTTTGAAATAACTAATTTTAAACTTTTGAAGTACAGTTACTTAGTGGCAATGTATATATGTAATTAGTTCACAAAAGTACATGTACGTAATATGACAGAGTAAAAACATGAAAAACTAAAGGTCAATTACAATTAAATCGTGATAACAAGACTTAAGAAAAGACAATGTTGTAGAAAATAAATATTGAGTATGTGAAGTGTTTTTACTTCCTGATAGAGAATCAGTAGCTTTATTTCGACCGCTAAAAATATATTATACTATAATTGTTTCCTTTTTATCAGTGTTAGTGGTATGGACCCCATCGGTCATGATGATCTTCTTTTTCGGGTCAAGAACACTGGCGAAATTCGCTGGGATCCTCCTGGCCTCTACGACGTCCACTGTGAAATAGACATCACTTACTTCCCTTTTGATTACCAGACCTGCTACATAGAGGTCGCCAGCTGGGTGTACAGTATGGACAAGGTCAATTTAACAAAGATCCACGATCACATATTGACAGAAGATTATCATGTGAATGGCGAATGGGACCTAGACTCCACCTTTGTCAAGGAATCCTTCCTTACAGAAGAAGGAGAGATGTTTTCTTCGCTGAAATTCGCCGTTGTTTTGAAGAGGCGGCCGGGGTATTACATGTCACACATCATATTTCCCGTTCTCATTATCTCTCTGCTAACCAATATCACGTTCCTGTTGCCGGCAGACTCTGGGGAGAAGATCTCCTTTATTTTGACTGTCCTTCTGTCCCTGGCTGTTTTACTGACTCTGATTGGAGACAGTATGCCGACTACGTCACTACACACATCTATTTTGGGTAAGTGAACAGAACACCGCTTTCTGTATGCGAAAATAAAAGTACAATATGGTTAATATTTACGAAATACAGTAATTCAAACTTCTTTTACAGCCGTGTATCTATCAATGGTATTAACAGTGTCTTCTTCTTTTACAGCCGTATATCTATCAATGGTATTAGCCGTGTCAGGCATTGTGATTCTGCTTACAGTCCTCAATCTGCGACTTTACCTCAGAGTCGACCAGAAAGACATACCCAACTGGCTCAAAAGATTCACAAACTCGGTTCTACTTCCTTTTTCTTGTCAGTGCTCAAAGGTCAAGGAGAGCTCGAAGGTCGAGGTCATCAGACAGAATACAAACATGGTTCACGTTACAGATCTAGACGACGCGGATATTGTCACGGTGGAGAACGGCCAGAAGAAGAAAAAGACATTGAAACGAATGAGTCAGAAGAAGGCAGAAATTCAGGAACAAAATTTTCAAACCTCGGAAAAAGACAGTGACTTTCCTTACCTCTGTCGAGATATTTCGGGTTTTCTCGATTGTTTCTTTTTTCATCTCTTCAACCTGATTATTATCATCCTTACCGGAATTTTCTTATCCATACTTGTATTTGGTTCCAAACCACACACATCACATTAGTTAAAAGTATAGACACAAATTTGAAGCTAATTTGAAGATTATATCCTTCAAAATTTTCTATTCATGACTTACATGCTGAAAGAGCATTTCAGACTGATCTATCATAAAAGCATGCTTAAATATCATTTTTTTAATCTCCAAATTATCAAAACTATGAATTTTGAGTGTATTTGATTGTAATACATCTGAGCACATTCACGAAATACGAGGGGTGATCAAAAAGTTCGCGAACTATCTCTATATTTACAAAACCACAATTCAGATCAGAATGAAATTTGGCACACATATAGTCATACACATGTTCTATAAATAGCAGGTGTTATGCAATGTTTTGCTCCATGTTTGTGACGTCACAATGTGAAAATGACGTCAATATGTAGGTGACTTGTTACAAAAAATGATTCAGTTGTACTCGCGCAACGAACGGCTGTAAAGTTTAACGTGTATCTTGGAAATTCCTTTGCAGTAGCATAAAATAATTTGTACAAGGTTTATAAAGACAAAGGACTTGCTAGAATTCAATCATTAACTGGATTGATTGTTTTAGTGAAGGAAGAGAGATGCATGGTTAAAAATTAAATTTGTTCTGTTGCCCAATGAAAGCATGTGTCCTTAGTTGAGCAATTTGTTATAAAAGATTGCCAAGTTACAGTTAGAAAAGTAGTTGAATATCTAGTTAACAATAATATAATTATTAAATCCCTAAAATGTCTTTTAATTTTGACTTTAAACATATCATATATGATAAAAAGAAGGCGCCCATACTTTATCCACAATGGATAAACGACGCTTTTAAGACAGAGGACTCGGGTTGTGATGGTCACCATGCTTATTCTGGGAAAGGATATCCTTATCCATCCATCCTATTGCCGAGATTTGGCCATTCCTGACAAATGAACTGTTCTTGTTATAAAAAAAATACTTGCATGGTAAGAAATATAAAACTCGGAAAAATCTTTTAGCTTCTGTGAACAGAACGCTACGGAGCATGTCACGTGACCGCCTATATCACGTGATTCGCGCATGGGCAGAACGGTGGCAGATGTGCATTTAAATCGGAGAGGACAACGTTAAAAAATAATGAACTCTGAAACCTAATTTCATTTCTTTTATAGAAGTAATTCAATTAGTTTGCGAACTTTTTGATCACCCCTCGTATATATTGAAAAAAAAACAAACATCTTTTATATTTAACAAAAGTGGGAAATTTGTGGCGTAGTACTAAAAGATTTTAAAACTATAATCAAGAAAGTAAGGAAGCAAAACCCCAACACAGTTCAGTGATATGTGCAGTGTTAGCAAATCGAACACTCCCGGTAAAACGTAAACATAAACGATAACGGAACTCGAGTCCATAAAATAAATAAATGTACAGATGTTTGTTGTAAGGTTAAAAAGAATGATATTATCACTGATCATTGAATATTAAGAATTTTCAAGTAATTTCAATTCATTTGACTGATTTTTTTAAAATAAGTAATTTAAATATTGTAAATAAATGCAATGCACCTTAGATATTAACTTCTTTACATCATATTTCAATTAGGAATTCCGAAATTTGAGAAATATGCACAATTATAGGTCTTTGAATATTTGAAGGGATAAATCGCATTACTTAGTTGTCCTGGAGACCCCCCCCCCGCAAAAACCACCTATTCTGACAATAGAAAAAAGACTAATACAACGACAGATGTGCAAACTTCGTTGAAATTCTGGAGCTCGAATTTACGTAATCATACTTAACTTTAATATGTACATGTTGTGTACTTGTTTTGTTGTTTGGCATTAAAGTTAAAAATATCTAAGTTTTGTTGTACAAACGTGTTACCCCTGATTATGTAATACACAATCAAATTGAGTCTATTACTTCTTTTATAGGTGAATTAAAATAAGCATTAAAGCTTCAAACACAATTTTATGCCAAGTCGTATAAAGTTTGGTTTTGTTGTAAAGGAGAAGGGCAAACAAGATGTGCGAAATGCCTATAGTTTCAAAATCTAGACAGTATTTAGAGTAAAGGTGTTATTATTGAAAGGTATGAAATTATGACAAACAAAACTTTTCTGAGAAAAAATTCTTGAGGCAAAAATTATTTTGGGATTTTTTTTTTTTTTTTAAAAAGTGTGATATTCTTGGGGTTTGAACCCAAGCAATAAAAATCCTGAATTTGATCTTTTCTTTGAGACTAACAAGCTACATGTAACGTACCACTGCGCTACATATCTCATGACAAATCATGCTTGTGATAGGGCCCTTGACTAAATGGACTTCAAATATTTCTCGGAAAGATACGAATGTTGTTTCATAATAGTGTATTTTTAAGTTGTAGTGGGTCTTTCCATGTTTTTGTTGACAAAACTTTTCTGAGAAAAATTCTTTTGGCAAAAATTATTCTAGGATTTTCAGTTATCAAAAAACATGGAGCAAAGACCTGCGTGTACTCTTACGTCTATACCTTAAAGATGATTCATGGTTGAATTCGACTTTTCCACTCGGCGAGCAATGCTTGACGCTGTTTACGGAGATAAAAGAAAATAGAGACAAACATGCCATATTTGGTTGTGTAGAAGACACAGGTATAAACAGTTTGCCAGTGCATGTCCTCTGAAATTGTAAATGAGTGCGATTCTGAGGGAGGGGGTACTCCGTGTAATTCGGAGTTGGATGCCTTGTGTTATTATTATACTATGGGTCAAAATTCTGTCAGAAACAAGTGCCTGTGCAACAGGTACCCTGACCCAGGGGCCATGAAATTCACAATTTTGGATGGGGCAGTCTTCATCATCATAACTATGCATTCAAATTGTTTGTTTAATACCGCCATGAATTTCACAACTTTGGTAGAGGGCTCAATGCTTATTACAATCATGCCAACAGTTTGACTTGATGTCCAGGAGATAAGAAGAAGATTTTAAAGATTGCATCAATTGTAGTGGTTTTGGCCCCACCCCTCAGGCCCCATGGAGTCAGGGAATTCACAATTTTTGTTCCCCTTCACCCATAGATGCTCTATGCCAAAATTGCACTACTGTAATGATTTTCCCCATAGATCCCCCCCCCAACCCCTGACGTTCCCCTGCCAGTCCCTGACATTTACCTGTCTCCCCCTGACTTTCTCCTATGATCCCTTGTCGTTGTCCCTGACGTCCCCTGACTTTGCCCTAACCCCTGATGACTCCTGACATTCTGTGACGTCCCTGTCAACTCTCTGATGTCCCCTGCCTAAGTCCCTGACCATCCTGTCAACTCTCTGTCGTCTCCTGACATTCATTATGACCCAGAAAAGGGATAAAATATGTTTTTGTTGCTACTTACTTGTGAGAAAATTGATACCTTACTCTTAGCAATTTTCAAGTTTTGTGAAAATATAGATTTAATCATTACGTTTGCTGTTTGATATATCTTTAGTAATTTTTTTCAAAATATGATTGTATTGATTGTTTAGTAACTTTTCAGATAAATCTTAATAAGAATAAATGCCAGTTACTTTAAAAAGAATAAATTACGAATTTATTGCGTCTTGTGTAGCATGAATGGCATGTAAATATATTTTTATTTATTTATTTATTTTTCATTTATTTATTTGTTTCTTTATTTACTTAATTTATCCATGTATCTGTTTATTTATTAATTTGTCTTCTTATTGATCTATTCATTTTTTTTTCCATTTATTTATTTATTTCATTTATTTAATCTATCTATTGAATTTATTTTTACATATTTGTTTTTTTTAATTATCAATAAAACAAAATAATTTATTTCATTTTTTTTTTTATTCATTTTTATTTTATTTATTTTAATTTATTGATAAATTTACTTTAATTAATTCAATGTGTGTCGTTCTTCATAAACAGTCTCTGGGTAAAACAAATTATGCTTCAAACTATTTTTAAGCATATTCAAATTACTTTTAATTCTTTTAATTTCATGATGGTATCAAAATCATCGTCTCATTACGCACAATATGAATCTGGAATTTGTTTTATTGCTCCCTTTTACTTTGGTTAATAAAAATGTCCTCAAAAACTTGTCACGGCTGTGAAAGAAATAACAGCTGCAGAGTGGATACGGTCGTGCTGCCACAGAATAAACAGTGTGGCCAGTCAAAAGAACAATAGGCGTCTGGTCTGTGTACACAGAGTCACTGGTCAACTATCAACTGTTACAGATAACTTTCATAAACGTGCAGTTTTTTAGGAACAAGTTTTTTTTTCTCAACAGATCAGAATTACTTTCACAACCGTGCAGTTTTAGAGGAACATTTCTATTTTTTTTTATACCAAAGTAAAAGCAGCAATAAAACTCGAATAACAAAATAAATCCAGAATTCAGATTGTGCGACGATTATTTTGATACCCATTTTGAAATTAAAGAAATTAAAAGAAATGTAAATATGCTTAAAAATAGTTTGAGGCATTGTTTGTTTTTCTTTAAACTGTTTATGTGGAACTACACAAATTAATTAAATTGAATAAGATTAATTAATTAATTAAAATAAAATGCATTAACAAAATGAATAAATAAAGAAATAGCATTAACTAATTAATTAATTAATAATTGAATAAAACAAATGTCTAAAAAAAAAAATGAATACATTAAATAAATAAATAAATAAATAAATAAATAAATAAATAAAGATATAGATTTTGACACTAATTATTTGTTTGAAGTATCTTTAATAAATTCTTCAATATGATTTATATGTTGATTATTTGGTAGCTTTTCAGATAAATCTTAAGAAGAATAAATGCAAGTTACTTTGAAAAGAATAAATTATCAATTTATTGCGACTTGTGTTGTATGAATGGAATGTAAGTCTAGTTTTTATTTATTTATTTTTTTTAATGTATCTGTTTATATATTAATTTGTCTGTTTATTTATCTATTAATTTTTTTTTATTTATTTGTAAATTCCAATTATTTTATCTGTTTATTTGATTTATTTTTACACACTTCTTTTATTTCATTATTAATAAATAAATTTATTTATTTAAAATATTTATTTATTTTATTTCATTTATTTTAATTAATCAATTAATTTGATTTAATTCAATTCAATATTGTGTAGTTCTTCATAAGCACATACATATTCCTGTATATGTCAGAA